TATATATATTTTATTCTTTTTGTAGAGACTGGGCTTACACTCTGTTGCCCAGGCTTGGTTCACTTTTGATAATAAAGGACATCTCAAATGTTTAGACATTTGCTTTCAGTTTGGGCAGGTATGAATACAGCAATTATAAACCTTCTTGTGTCTTGTTTGGAAACATAATTTTTAAAATGTAACTAAGGCAATACTAAAATTATGATTACTTGCTTGTATGGTAAGACTACATATTTCTTTGTAAGAATTTTGGTGGAATTTACCAGTAAAATCATTGGGAGCTAGTGTTTTTGTTCTTTTGAGAAGATACTAATTATTGATTCAGTTTCTAAAATAAATATAGGCCTATTCAGATGATTAATTTATCCTGAAAAGAATTTTAACCTTCTGAAACAAATCCAAAATATGAGCTCATTTCATATAATGTATCTAAGTGTGAGCACAGATGTGTTCAGAATATTCCTTTATTATTATTCTTTGAGTTTACTCCTCTTGAACTGATATTATTACTACATTGAAACTTCCTTCTTTCCTTTGTGGTTAGACAAGGTAGAGGTTTATCAATGTTACTGATCTTTTAAAAGAACTGGTTTTTGCTTTTCTTGATTTTCTCTGATGATTTCCTGTTCTTTATTCCATTAATTTCTGCAGTCATTATTTATTTTTCCTCTATTGGACAGTACACTGCTGTTTTTCCTTCATTGCCACAGGTGGAAGCTAGGTTATGAAGTTAGATTTTTCTCATTATTGACACATCATCATGAATGTTACTCACTGAATATAATGTCATTAAAATGCACAATTAATAATTAAAATAATAAATGTGTATACTTTACAACAACTTTAAAAATACACCAGGTTAGATGGTAAATGTAGTAGCAGGATACATAGATCCACCGAAGTTAAATAATCCTGTAACCTTTCCCAAAATGTAGGGATTTGCGTGGACCTTCACATGGGCAGCAGGTGTGATGAGATGGTCTCACTGAGCCATATAGTGCCTTTCTCTATTAACCGGTTCTTAGACTATTTCACACTGATGAGGTTGCCCCAGCTAGGAAGCCAAGGCTCTTTCATTTCTTTCTGCCCCTCTCCTTTGCCTTCCTTCAGCATCAAGGAGAATGGTCCAGCAGCAGCTCAGTCCGTGCTTGTCAACCACCCAGCTCCACACACTCCAGCCCCCATCCACATTCCTCAAAGCTCCTTGTGAGATTCCTCAGTAGCACCAATGCACTGACTGTCACTGTGTGTTCTCCTAGCTCCTGCTGACCACCCACCGGAGTGCACCCTTGGCAGTGAGGAGGAGGAGGTAGCCTCTGACATGGTAACATACACTTGTTTGTCTGGAAATTTTTTGTGTGTGGGGCTTCTAGACTACGAAGTGAATATGATTTTTGACTGCCATCATAAATCAGGCCTCAGGGGGTCGTGGACTCTAGCGACTGGTCACTGGAGATTATGACCAACTGAGGCCTGACGGACGATGTCTGTCAAAAGAGGGCATCACCTACAAACTGGTCATAAGGATATTTCTCAGTAGCAGCATTTTCTTCTTGAAAAAATAATTTTGTATTTCCTAGTCAACATGGACACTTGCTAAATGTTCCAAACCCACTGTATTTTCTGCAAGCATCCTCTATGCGTCATTTGGGGCCAGCGACTTGATCACTGTTCTACATCTGGTTTTCTCATTGTTGTGGTTGTGGTTGTTGTTGTTTTGAGACAGCGTCTCTGTCACCAGGCTACAGTGCAGTGTTGTGATCTCAGATCACTATAACCTCCACTTCCTGGGTTTAAGCAGTCCTCCTGCCTCAGTCTCCTGAGTATCTGGGACTATGGGCTCACGCCACCACCACACCCAGGTTTTTGTGGTTTTTAGTATAGACGGGGTGTCACCATGTTGGCCAGGATGGCCTCAATCTCTTCACCTCATGATCTGCCCACAGTGGCCTCCCAAAGTGCTGGGATTACATGCGTGAGCCACCGCGCCCAGCCTGCCATCTGGTTTTCTAGTGTCACCAAGTGAATACCAGACCTGTGCCAACAGGGCATAGCATGATGTAATCCTCATGGTGCTTCTTTTTCTCTTATTGCAGGAGAAGCCTGTGGCCCAGTATCAGCACCGTACGTATTCTTTTTCTTTTAAAGAGTTACTGAGACGTAGTTGACATGCAAACCAATTCACCCATTTAAAGTAGGTGATTCAGTGTTTTTACTATATTTACAGGGTTGTGCAGCCATTGTTACAATCTAATTTTAGAAGCTCTTGATTCCCTCTCAAAAATCCCCATTAGTAGTGACTCCTCTGTTTTCCCCAACCCCCACACCCTTGGTTCTAGGCAGCCCTAATCTACTTCCTGTTTCTATAGTACACTGCCTTTCTGTATTAACCGATTCTTAAGGTGACTGTTTCACTTTGATGAGGTTGCCCTAGCTAGGAAGCCAAGGCTCTTTCATTTCTTTCTGCCCCTCTCCTTTGCCTTCCTTCAGCACCAAGGAGAATGATCCAGCAGCAGCTCAGTCCATTCTTGTCAACCGCCCAGCTCCACACACTCCAGCCCCCGTCCACATTCCCCAAAGCTCCTTGTGAGATTCCTCGCAGCACCAATGCCCTGACTGTCGCTCTGTGTTCTCTTAGGTCCTGTTCTACTCAGCCATATAATAGAAGATGTTGAGGAGGAGGAGAAGCCCCCTGACCTGGTAAGATGCATTTGTTCATCTCTAGGAGAAATGTCTTTTTCTGGGGCTTCTAGAATATCCAATGAATATCGTTTTTGACTGCCTTGTGAATCAGACCTCAGTTGTCATGGACTCTAGTGACCAGTCACTGGAGTTTATGACCAACTGAGGCCTGATTGACGATGTCAGTCAAAAGGTGGCATAACCTACAAACTGGTCTTGAGCATATTTCTCAGTAGCACCTTTGTCTTCTTGAAAAATTATTTTGTATTTGCCAGCTGACATGAACACTTGCTAAATATTCCAAAACACCCCACTGCCTTTTCCACAAGCATCTTCTATGCTTTATCTGGGGACCAGTGACGTGGTTTTCTAATGTCACCAAGTGAAAAGACCTGCACCAGCCACACCCAGCATGATCTGATGCTCATGGTGTTTTGTGTTTTTTTCTCTTGTTGCAGACCACCTCTACAGCCCCAGGTGACCACCGTAAGTGTTCTTTTTCTTTTAAACCGCTTTATTGACACATAGTTGACATGCAAAACAATTCACTTATTTAAAGTGGGTGATGTAGTGTTTTTACTATATTTACAGGATTGTGCAGCCATTGTCACAATCTAATTTTAGAATCTTTTCATTCCCCCTCACAGAAACCCCATAGCCATTAGTAGTCACTTCTTTTTTTTCCCAAGCCCCACAGCCCTGGCCCTCGGCAGCCGCTAATCTACTTTCTGTTTTTCTAGATTTGCCTACTCTGGCAATTTCTTTTTTAATTTCAATTTGATTTTAATTTCCGGGATACATGTGCAGGATATGCCGGTTGGTTACATAGGTAAAAGTGTGGCATGGTTTGCCTCACCTGTCAACCCATCGCCTAGGTATTAAGCCACACATACATTAGCTCTTATTCTGATGCTCACCCTCCCACTTCCCCCTCAGCAGGCCCCAGTGTGTGTTGTTCCCCTTGCTAACATTGTACATATTCTAATACCACTTCCTTTCTAATGACAAATCTACGTGATGAGTCTGGGGGTTTTCTTGCTTGCTTGTGTCTGGAGAACCCCCTGGCTTCAGGTTCCTGATAGGTGTGAGGATCTGGGGCGTGGTGTGAGAAACAGATGTCTCCATGAAGAACTCAGCTCTGGGACAGGAGATTCTCCATCATGGCCTATTGATGCTACTGTTGAAATAGGTTTTTGTTTCCTTCTGAAATCCTTCAAACACAGAGAGCCAAGATAGCTGCTTTAGGTCATGGTGAGGATCAAGTGGACCATATGATGGTTTGAGGGGTTTTTTTGGAACATGCATTCTGTGGAAAAGCATTGCTTTTTCAGAAAAATTTGATTGTCCTGTATGTGTCAGTATTTTTCCAATGGGACAAAGAATCAAACTGTTTCATTGGGCAATGTCACTTGTTCACCCAGAAGTGATTTTTCTCATGACCACATTGTCCTGGACATCTTTAATCTAGACGAAGCTTCCCAGTGGTGCTGCAGGGGTGCTGCTGTGTGCGAGTCAAGGAAAATGTCAGTGTTACCGACATTGAGGTTCTCAGTATTCATGGACAGCTGCTCAGTGGGCTCCAAGGGAGAGAGCAATAGAGAGCCTGGTGCTAGACCTGAAGGGGAACATGATTTAGAGGATCAGAGGGGGAAAATGAGGACATCTGGGACGTTGTTAAAGGAGAATGTCAAGGTTGCAATGTTAGGGGCAGCAGTTCAACATCATCACCAGGGCCCAGGCAGGATATGAGACCCCTTCTGGGGAGGAGTAAGTAGGACTTGGCCTTCCTCTCTGTCGAAAGCTTGGTGTGAACATCACTCTAAATGCCTTGAGAAAGGAGCTCCCTTCCTGACCCATGTCTTCTCCATCTCTTTGTGTGATGATGGTAATGACACCAACAGAAATTGCTGAGAGGGGCAGAACAGGAATCAGGTCCCCATTTTTTGACACAGAGCAGACAGGACACAAGTCAGTAGGGATGGACCTCAGGATCAGGCCAGACACAGAGAGGTCCCAGGCCTGATCTTTTTGGGGCTGAGACAGGTAAGTTTTTATTTTTCACCTCTTCTGGAAGTCTCCTGAGGAATGTTTCTTCAGTAGACCCTGTTGGCCAAGGGTGTTCTGGCCCAGAAATGCTTTTCAACTGGACAGAGTCCCCCAGCTCTTGGCCTGGGCAGCTGCAGCACTCCCAAGTAGCAGGGCAGGTGGGGAGGGACATGAGTTCTAGTGCAGGGTGATCTCAGCAAAGGGATGGGGACTGATCCCAGAGTCCAAGTCATCCTTTCAACTCGTGTGGAATCCGTAACATTTCGGTTTCCATTTATTTTGGAGATGGTTTCAAATGTTCTGTCTCAAAGTCACAGTCTTCCCACAGGGGAATAGAGGAACCCTGGCTGTGGGTGTTTACTAGCAGGGCAGTGACCGTGTCTTTCTCATTTGTCCTTACCCCAGAGCTCAGTCCTGGGAAGGACACATTAGGCTCCATGGATGTTTTAATGAACACATGCCTTGGATGAGCTCTAGGTCACTCCTGGGCTGGGATCTAGTGCAGGTGTGGAAAGGTGTTCTTCTCAGCCTGTCCAGCCTGTTGAGCCCCACACTCATCCTGGAGCCTGCCCAGCTTCTGAGTCAGGGTCCCTGGAGATGAGGGCGAGCTCCTGAGGACAGTGAGACGCCCCTACCCCTGTGCTCCTGCTGCTCTGATCTAGTCTAGACAGGGTGTGCAGGCCCACACTCTTCCACTGGGTGTAAGCGCATCCCTGCTGGAATCCTTCTGGACCTGGATGTTGTCCTCACCGTCATATCCCCAGCCCCACACAGTGCAGATGCCTTGTGCAGATGCCCAGGAAGTAACTGTAAATGTGTGGTAGGATCAGAGCAGCAAATGATTCTGCAAAAAACACCAGGATAGGGGAGTCAGGTCTTTCTCATATCTGGATCTCTGGAGCTGTCCCATCTAGTGTGCTTCTGTCATATACATGTCTCTTTATAGTTAAATAAACTTAAATATGTACAATGAAATATTCAAAACCTCCTCACAACAGCCACCATGCAATGGCCCAGCAGCCATACAGCAGAGAGCATTTCCATCCCCACAGAATGCTGTCTTGCATGTCTGCTGTGAGCCTGGCCCAGTGTCTGATTGTTGGACTCATCTCACTGAAAGCATGCACATCAAAGTTGGGATCTCAGGGTTGTGGGGTTGGAGGTGAAACCTATAATGGGCCAGTGAAAGGAAAAATGGAAAGGTGATTCCTTCAGCTCCTCTTTCTCACTTGAAGGCTGGAAAGTGTGAGCAATGCCTTGTTGAAGACCTCTGGCTCCACAGAGCCTAGAGAGAGTCTGAGAACACTGAGGAAAGCTCAGGGTGATCTCGTGTAATCCAGTGTGACCTCA